TGTAAATGGTGTTGTGCAAGGCCCCAAAAGGGAGGGGGCTATTGGACTTACTCCAAGTCCTTGGACTTGGAGTTCAGTGGTCTATTTAAATAAATTTGTAATTTATGAAATTTCGAAAGAAAAACTTTTTTTATATTAAATAAAATGTTAATAATGTTAAAGCGCCCCCAAACATATTTAGTTAGGTATGAGTGAMCAAAATTTTATGCGGAGGACCTGTGAACAACAACTAGGTATAGTCCACACGCCCAGGTCTCCCATTTGGCACTAATACAGAGCTAAATCTGCCCCCCCCTTAAATCACAATTAGTTTCGAAACATTTTTGCATGAACGCTGGGCCCCTAAAGTCCGAGCTCCTGCAGTACCATGGGTCCTTCTGATCCCTCCACCCCTTGTGGGGGTCATGCACACCGMACACGCTTAATAATATAAAATCTTATCTTCTATTCAGTATAACTGACCATGTCCATGTGAGTTTATAAATAGTATATTTATGACAAATAAAACATTAATTATAAACCTTCATAGTTCATTAGATAAATACGATTCCACATAACTTTTATCAAGTAAATATTCTACAACTTAATATGCAATTATACGCATTCCAATAAAAATATGTAAAAATATGTGAAATCGTGTACATAAATTACTAACAACCAATGTGTATTTGGACTAAAGATAAAAATTAAAAATATGTTAATACTCATAGAAGTAAATACTAGCGACTAGCCTATCGATAATAATAAAAATATTAATTGTTTTTGCATAAGTACTACCTACAATTGATAGGGTGAGGTCAATAAGCTCATAAAACCCCTTTAGCTAGTTTTTTATATGCATCTAATATCTATGTATATCATCCAAAGGTATGAAATAATGATTAATATTGTGTATTTATATAAAAAAGATGCATTTTTATTTATGGAACAAATATTGTAATACAGGTTATCTACCTGGTTACATACAATATAATTCTTGAACTCGACAAAAATTATCATAAAATTATTTTTTTTAAATTTAATATGCATAAAACTGGTTATGGATATTTTATCATTATTTAATGATTATTTGTTGCCAATTTATCCTTAAAACTATGTCAATGGTGGTTTTAAATTTCCTGCACTTAGTACACGTCATATACATATAACTTTGTATAAGCACACCTACTTATATAGTTATATTTTATATATCTGACTATAACTAATCTTTTCCACCAATATATTTATATTCAAATACATTATAATTTATGGTAYCTAACTAAAATTTTAATTCTATAATAAGTCTTTACAAATAATATTATTTAAATTACTACAAATTGTTGTAAAAAAAACTTATGAAAAATATTCTATTTTAAATTTAAAAAAAGTGGGTAAGTCGTAAATGTCGCTMTGCTGTACAGTAGGTTACAAGTGGGTTACTGTAATAGATGGAATTAAATTTGAGTCCAATGTTATTATATCATTGTATACGAAAAACGATTCTGAGCGGAGACGGTTTATCTGTCTAGGATATGATTATTAAAAATTTTCAAATCTTAAATTTAAAAAGAATTTTTTTTATGAATTTCTAGCTTAAAATAATTTGCGAATTTTCGTGATTTTTACGTTTGTTGTCAAAATTACAACTTTGAATGCTTGTAAAAAAAAATTTTGGCTATGAATTTATTTTATTTTTCAACTGCTATTATAACAACATGTTTAATTTAAATTAATTTTATTTTGTTGGAATTGGGTTTTCCTAAAAAAATTCAGGCTTTGATATTGTTTTGTTTTTGACTACCTATTATTCATTTAGTTTGAAAGTAGGTAGTGAGAAATTATTAAATTATTACTTCCCAATAGCGGACAYCTCCAAATAACGGACGGAATTTTGGGAACGGTGAAATGTGTACTCACTGTATTTCCCCTTTAAATAGCGGATGACATTTAAGCGACYGAGAGTGTCCGGTATTTAGAGGTTTCACTGTACATTCTGCTACCACGGACTACAATAAAGAGGACTGTACGCAATTAASGACGGTTAACTGGTAGTTATCAAGACAGAATAATAATTGCATCGATAGGCTTATAGTTTTCCTACTAAATTACTAAACATTAAACATGTAACGCTATCTACATGGTAAATTATTAGCTATTCTACTTTTTTTTTTTTAAATATAAATAAAGGTTGATACGTCTTACTTAAGCAAAGCATAACGTTTTTAGTACCTACCTAACTTTGTGGTTCCTCAAAAATATTGTTATTTAGGATTTAAAAGTTTTATGTAGGTAAGTAGTTATTATATTTTATATTATATACACAATGTTGCAGAGAAATTTAAAATAATTTATACACATTTCATGATATTGTCTATTTRAACTACACCTTTCTACGATAATTTGTTATCTATACAAAAACAATCATAATTATTTGGTATAGTTAATATATACCTTCTACTAGGTATATTCATTAAATATTAATAGTTTAAAAATGCAGTGTTTTGACTATAATTAACTCAACTTACCATATTGACAATACTAAAATAATTTATTTTAATAACTTTATAGATGTATTATGTGTATCCATTTACTGTAGCTTGGTACGCTCTATTTGTGAATATGGCTCAATAATATGGTCTCCGAAGCAAATCATTAAAAAATTCAACAAAAGTTATTRCGTTTTCTTTCATTCAAATTTTCTATAGCCAGAGAACCCCACTCTTCGTACACTCCACTATTAACAATTCTTAACTTAGAAACACTTGAACACCGTCGTCTGCGATTAGATTTGTACTTTTCGTACAAACTATTCTCAGGAAACAGATTGTCCCGAGTTCCTAAGTCGCTTCTCTTTCCATACCCCTACTCGTAACTCCCGGTCGAAAAACACTTTTTATCTAAACACAGAAGTAACTAATTATGCAAGCAATACTCCCCATCATAGAATTATGAAAACTWTAAATAAATTAAATATTGATTTATTCATATCACCAAACTTCTACTCATTCAAAAATTATTGCRATATCTTACTTGTTAATTCATAGCTATAAGTATATTATATGATAATTAATATTRTACTTTATTGTTTTTCTCTTTAATTATTCAATTTTTGTATATTACTTTAACGATCGATTGTCTTTACTATTATCGTGTATGTAATTGGGCCTGGCCCGTTTAAAATTTAAATAAATAAATAAATATCACAACATCTTGTTGGATCAGTTGTAGAGTATGGGTCTGTGGTATGATCTCCAAGGACCAAGTAACAGKATACCATTTATGAAAATTATATCTGTCCATCTGATTTCCTAAAGATCCCAAGTTTTGAGTCATGGCGGTCTTGTACAAAAGGCGCAAATTACGTCAGTAATATAACGGAAAAATAGTACTGAACGTCTGAACCCATATTATGTAATTTAGTTAAATTCTGTGTCGACGATCCGGTACACACCGTGATTTCGCTTTTATTTTATTTATAATAGGTATTATGGTTAAAGGATAATAACTATATAAAAAAAAAATCGAAGGATGGCGAGACTGCTCTACTACTCCCATCACCACTTATTAAGTTACACAAAAATCGCTTATATTCATTATTATCTACGCGGCGACTGGTGACGTAGGTATCTAGGTATATCGTATTATAATAGTGTGAATAATTTTATTGTGAACCTTCTCAGAAAGAACTATAAATACCTTGAAATTAGTC